AGTGCGCAAGATCCATGCTGATCCTGACTGCAAGAAAAGTAGGTGCCTGGGGAGCCCAGGGGAGGGACTTGGCTACGAGAGAGCACCAGTGAGCTCCAGAAACCCAACAGGGAGCAGGGCAGGAGTCACTACGTGACATCTGACTGTAGCATCATGACAGCTTCCAGCATCAGCTCCCTGTGCCCTGACTGGCTGGTTGTGCTGGGCATAATTGAGCCCCCAGGCTGGGGAGCCTGAAAGCCTCTCCCTGACCATCCACCTCCACCATCAGGGTTAGGCAAAGGCCGAGATGGCAGCAGGCAGTGCAGCCCCTGCCCGAAGTGCTGGGAGGGGACAGGCAGGGACGTGGGCTGGGCTCCCCAGGGGATGCACCCTTGCTACGCTATGGCAGGGACAAGGGAATGTGTCCTGTGGTGCAGCAAACGAGCTGCACAGCAGGCTGCCGCTGGTTGGGCACTGCCAGGCACGTTCACCGTTTCCACTGTAAAATCCCCTCTAAGCCCTGGCCATCTAATGCCGCCTTGATCTGATTAGATGCAGCTGCCTTCCAAAGCCAGCATTACCTGGCAGGCAGCGCAGCCTCGTCCCTGTCCCCGTCGCTGCGTGGGGAGGCAGAGGTGAAGCTGAGCGCGGGCGACAAGGAGGGGAGGAAGGCGGGGAGCACAGCGGCACTGGCCCCGGGGGGCAGCAGGCAGCCCCCCTGCCAGCAGCACCATCTGCCAGCCACGCGGCTGGCACGGGCTCAGGTGCACGGGGACAGTCCTGGCGTGCCGCCCATCCCTGGGGTGGGGTGACGTGCGTCGTGGCGGGGCTGACTGAAGGAGGATTGGGCGGGGGGGATGCCTTACCCCTGCTTGGCACTGGGGTTGATATCTGGGCTGCTCTCTCCACCCTGGCAGCACCCCGAGGGAAGCGTAGCTGGAAGCCCTTCCACGCCATCCTGAAGGGGATGATTCTGTACCTGCAGAAGGTAGGCAGCAGCGGGGCCGCCCGCATCCATGCCAGGGAGAGGGGTCATCTCCAACACAGTGGGGAGGTCACAGCAGTCCGCAGAGCAGAGAGGTGCTCCAGTGTGCAGCATTGTAAAGCCTGGCCTTAGCAGACTCGGCACCATGCCTGCTTGAGCCTTTGCTTGAGTATCTGGTGGCATCCCTTTTCCTGAAGTGCTCAGGCTGAGCCTGGGCAGTGAAAGCAGCTGCCGACTGAGGGCCCTGTGTGCGGGAGCTTGGCTGGGGAGAGAGGAGACACTGGGGTCTTTGCTCTGGTCGGGGAGGGGGGGCGGGTTGTGCTACACATCCAGTTTCCTGCAGGCACCCACGCTGTCCAGCTGCGGGGCAGTGAGGAGCAGCCACCACGCTGTTGCCAAGCCCATGCACCCGGGTTGTGCAACCTCTCCCCAAGGGTGTAGCATGAGCTGGAGGCAGAGCCCACAGCAGCCTGGTGAAGGGTGATCTGCAAGCCCCACTACTGCCAGCGCTTGCCTGCAGTTTTCATGGCCTCACAGGGCTGACTCATGGTGGGGTGCATCCTTAAGCTGGCTCTGAAACACCCCGTGATTCGCAGGAGGAGTACAAGCCAGGGAAGGCACTGGCAGAAGAGGAGCTGAAGAACGCTATTAGCATCCACCATTCACTTGCCACACGGGCATCTGACTACAGCAAGCGACCCAATGTCTTCTACCTCAGGACAGCTGACTGGAGAGTTTTCCTCTTCCAAGCACAGTGAGTCCCTCAGGATCACCGGCTGGGCCCCATGCTGGGGTGCAGGGGCTCATCTGACTGGGGTGGAGGGTGGCATGGGGCTTAGGGCCACATTGCTATCTCTTGTCGTGGTCCTTTCTGGAAGAAAAGGGACATGGTGTCAGCACTGTGCTTTGTCCATCTCCTCTTCTTCCCACCCCAATGAGCTCACGATGACCCATGTTGCTGGGGCCGGAGCCCCAGGTGCCATGGCTGGCCAGGACCAGTCCTGGGGGACCCAGATTTGTCTGCAGGACAGGTCCCTCTGCCTGTGACAAAGACAGTGCTACTTAGAGCCCATCCGTGGTTTGGATTTTCTCCCCAGGAACCCCGAACAGATGCACTCGTGGATCACGCGCATCAATGTGGTAGCAGCCATGTTCTCTGCACCCCCCTTCCCTGCAGCTATCGGCTCCCAGAAGAAGTTCAGCCGTCCGCTGCTGCCCAGCTCCTGCACCAGGCTGTCCCAGGTAGGCCATGTTGTGGGGACAGCCAGGAGCATGGGACAGACCCTCCAGATCTGCTGGTGGCACTGTCCCCTGGAGAGGGAGCTGTGTGGTCCCACAGGCCCAGCTGCCTCCCAGTGGGGTGCAGGGCTGATGAAGCATGGCCGGGGAGACACGAAGCAAGGGGTTACTGAGGTTGTGGGTGGACAGCGAGGACTTGTTTCTGGCAACAGGGACGGGAGACAGGCAATAGAGTCAGACCATGGAGGAGAACATGGTCCCACACCGCAGCTTGCAGGGTCCTGCCAGGGCCGGGACCTTGAAAGTCAACCGGACTGGGGGGATTAGCTGGTGCTTGTGCATGCCAGGGCAGTTATTCATAGAGAAGAAAGGATTAAAAAAACCCACCAGCCTAGTTTCAGAGGGGATTAAATTCTTCTGCTTTAAGACTGCAGCCAGCCCCATGCAAGGCAGGAGCAGATTGCCCCCAGGGGCCTGTGTTTTACCTGACACTCAAAAAAAAAAAAGAGGCAAATCCAGGAGCAAAATCTGAGATTCTGGTTGGACCCAGGAGGGGAAAAACCTGTTCTTGCCCCAGCCAGCTCACACTGCCGGGGGGCGGGGCAGAGCAGAGGGCAGAGCAGGGCACTGATGTGGTGCCACCCTTCCCCAGGAGGAGCAGGTGAAGAGCCATGAGACCAAGTTCAAGACGATGTCAGCGGAGCTGCTGGAGCATCGCTCCTCGCTGCCTGAGAAGAAGGTGAAGGGCAAGGAGTACGAGGAATTGAAGCAGAAGGAAGAGTACCTGGAGTTTGAGGTGAGCTGGGAGTCCCGTCCCCCCCCCACCTTGGCCCCCAGCCCTGCCTTCCCCTGACTGCTTGGTCATCCAGAGTGATGGGATCCCCCCCGATCCTGTCAGCTGAATCACACTGTGCCACTGCTGTGGTCCAGAACCACACGCATCCCCTCACCCCAGGATGCTGGCTGAGGAGTATTGCCCAGCTTGCCAACCCTGCTCTCTGCTGCACTGTGCCCCCCAGAAATCCCGCTACGGCACGTACGCCATGCTGCTGCGGGCCAAGCTGAAGGCCGGCTCTGAGGACCTGGCAGCGTTCGAGTCCACCCTCTTTGACGCAGCAGGTGGGGAGGACGATGGCCTGAAAAAATCCCACTCCAGCCCCTCGCTCAACGCGGAGCCCTCCAGCACGGCCACCAAGGTGAAGCGCAACATCTCGGAGCGCACCGGCCGCCAGCCCCCTGGCCACCCCCAGAAGTCGTAAGCGAAGGGGCATCAGCCGCCCGTGCTGCAGCTCCGTTCCTGCCCCGCTGGCGCCGGGGTGGAGGCCACATGCCCGCCGAGACCCTGCATGAGTCCGTCCATCTGCGGCACGAGCTGGGGAGGTGACAGCCCTTCTCCGGCTGCCAGCACCAGCCGTGCAGGGCCGTGGCCCCTCCGCCAGAGGTGGTGGCAGAGCAGGACAGTCCCCGGTCCTTGCTCACGGGAGCTGCCCGCACCGTCAGCCCCATCAGACTCATTCCTGCCCCTCCTTATCCTGTGCTTGGCTGCAGGACCCCATTCCCCAGCCCTGGGGAGGGGGATAACTGAAACCCACCCACTGGGCTCAATTCTTCAGTGGTTAAAAGAAAAAAAAAAAAGACAATAATGCAGCAAAACAAAGCCAGTGGCCGCTTCTCCTACAGCTCCCTTGTGCCATGGGGGGGAAGACAGGAGGGGGCCAGCCCTGGCCTGTCCCCTCCCCTGGGGCTGGTGGTCAGGGGAGCCAGGGCAATGGCACCTGGCCCCCTCCCTGCCACCACAGATACCTTTGCACCCTCCCTGCTTTCTTACAACTTTTGAACGGTTTTTGTGATACAGTTTTGCACTTTTTAGTACCAGATCGAGCTGACCATCAGGGAGGGGTTTTTGGGGCTACTTTTGATGCTTTTTGGGAACTGTTTAAAAAAAAAATAAGCAAAACCAGAAACCCAGCCCTGTCCTGTAGGCACTGCACTCTGTGAGGAGGTTTTTACATGGACTTGGGGCGTGACCCAGCAGCCCCCTGCAGCAAGCTGAGCATGGGCTCCTGCCTGTGCTGCTGCCAGCTCCCCAGCCCCATTCTGGCACCAGCAACCCCTCAGAGAGACAGCCCTGCTGCTGCTGGTACCGAGGCAGCCTTGGGAGCGGCAGCACCCATCGCTGCGCCTGCAGCTGCATGGGAGGCTGATGCTTCGGTGCTTTGTGACCCACCTGCCCCAGCAGCCTGGACCATCCCTGTTTGCACTGCCTGGGTGCGAGCGTCGTACCCGGGGCATGTTGGGCAGCAGCATGTAAGTACTCCGAGGGGGGAGGTGACCCCTGAAGCCAGGGTTGACTTGGGGCTCCCCACTGCCCTCTGAGGCTGGCAGGGGCTGGAGCCTGCTTTCCTCCCCATGCCACTTTTCCAAGGTATGGCTGGGGCCTCGGAGGCTGTCGGCAAAGCCTGGTCCGCAGCGCTGTGAGGTCCTTGTGCTGCAGCAGTGGTGGTGCAGCACCTTCCTCGGCCACGAGCTCCCTCCTTGCCAAGGTGAGGGGCTGGCTGGGGCAGCCCTCACCACCCCAGGGTGGGCTGGAGGATGCTCGTCCAAAGCAAGGTGCCAGTGGTGGAGCATGGCTGCCTGAGTGCCTGGGGTGCACCAGGAGGGGTCCAGGGACTGGAAGGGCTGTGGGCAGGGGACTGGCACACACGGTGTTCTCGGCCGCCCAGGACCCGGCTGGTTTCAGCACTGACTTTGCGAATGTGTCAAACTTTTTATTCTGCTCTTTTGAGTCTATTGCAAAAAAAAAAAAAAAAAAAAAAAAAAAAAGTATATCCACCCTTGCCCCAGGTGGCTCGGTGGGGAGAAAAACCTTTGTACAGCTTCTCTCAGTTACTGAAGTAAAACTCGCTCTTCACTTCTTGTGTGCACTGTGGTTTCTCCCCTACAGTTGGGGACAGCCCTGGCAGGGAGGGATGCTGAGGAGGGGCCGGCAGCTGCCTCCTTGCTGCTGGACTCCCAGCCCCCGGCAGGGCTCAGGGGAGTTAGTGCCCACCGGCTCAGGGCTGGGGCTGGAGAGAGGGAGGGCAAAGGGTGATGGAAATTGTCCCTTTATTCAGAAGAGGGACCATTAAATAAGAGCAGAGAGGGGGCAGGAGCTGGCTGCATCCCATTCCCCTGAGTCCAGGCAGCCGGACCCCAAGTCCAGAAGGCACTTGTGTGGGCAGGGCAAGGTATGGGGCAGTGAGGCCCCCCCGGGCGGCTGTGGGGGCTGCTGACCCCTCAGTGCACCTGCGGCTGCTGGCTGTGGGGCAACTCGCCCCCCGGCCCCGGCTTCAGGGCCAGCGCGGGCCCCTGCTCCTCCTCCACTGACTCGCTGCCATAGGCACTGTCTTCCTTCAGCTCTGCAAAGCAAGCCCTGGGTGGTCAGCAATGGGGGGCCAGGGGGGCAGCAGGAACATACACCCTCAGCCCCTCACTCCTCATACCTGTGCTTTGCAGCTTCTCCAGCGCCTCAGTTTTGTGGAGCACCCTCACAGCCTTGTGGAGCCCCATGGAGTCCAGTGCCTCCAGCAGCCCCCCCAGGCTGCCCCCTGCCAGCTGTGGAGAGAGAGCACTGAGCGGGGCTGGTGGCTGGACGGGCAGGGGGGATGGGGGCACCCTGGCCAGGCACTGACCTCGTAACTGCGCAGGAGGCTGACGCTGGGCGAGGGGGTGTCCTTGTAGGTCTCCACCAGGCTGCAGAGCCCCAGACGCTTGGCCAGCTCGATCCAGTCGGACCCGCTGCAGTCCTGGTTCAGCAGCTGCTCCAGCCCCTGCAGCGCCTCACTGTCCAGCGACAGGACCTTTCCTGTGCAGGAGAGGTGCCTCCATCACACGCTGCCCGTCCTCGCTGCCACGAGGGTGCTGCCCTGCCTGGGCGCAGTGCTTTCGGGGGGAGAGGGGCTCCTCACCTGGCCGGGGGGCAGCGGGCAGCTCTGCCTCAGGGCCCTGCTGGGAGGCCTGCAGCAGGATCTCCCTCACCTGCAGACAGATGCACAGATGTCAGCATCCCTCAAAGTACCAGCCAAGCTCTCCTCACCTTCCCATGCCTCAGCTCTCCCCAGGGCATGGAAGGGTACAGGCATCCTCGCAGGAGCAGCTCCCGGAGCTCTGCCTGATTCATGCTGTAGCCCCCACAGAAACGCTCTCAGTGGGTTTCTCCTGCCATACCACGCACCTTCTGGCTCCGAGTCAGGTCCAGGGGCGTGTGGCAGTGGCGCTGCCTGTGCCCTGCCTGCCCGTGCCCCTCCGTGGGTGGCTGGGGGTTGGTGCTGCACTCCATGGCCGGCGCTGGCTCCCCCAGCTCCATGGCCAGCTCCTGCTCCTCGGGGTCGGCATCTGTGTCGCTGCTGGCCTCCGATGAGGATGGGCTCACAGGCTCATCGTTCTCGCACAGCACGTCCGCCCCTGTCAGGGAAGGGCGGACTGAGACCCCAAAAGGGAAGGTGGCCCACGGGGATGCCCTGTGCCTGGGCAACCCCTGGTGCAGGCAGCCAGGTCTGTGGGGAGGGGAAGGGAGAGGAGGGAGGGCAGCACCTTACCAGCTTTGAGGAGCAGTTTGGTGAGGGTTGGGGAGCCCAGACCAGCAGCCAGGTGCAGTGGGGTATTCCCGGCGAAAGTCCGGCTGTTGACATCTGCTCCCAGCTATGGAGAAAGGTGCAAGGCTGTGAGGGTGGGCTATCTGGGTGCTGACCCCCCACCTCCTGTCACCCCAAGACCATAGGGGACATCCCACTTCTGCCAGGGCCCTGTAGGAGGCTGTGCCCCATCCTAGAGCCACAAACCCACAAGCCCCCGCCGTACCTTCTTCACCAGGTGGGTGGCCATGTTCAGGTTCTCCATCTCCACTGCCAGATGCAGTGGGGTCCTCCCGCCCTGCCTCTCCACTGCATTCACATCTGCTCCCTTCCTGACCAGCAGGTCCAGGCAAGCCAAACTCTTTGCCTTCACGGCCAAGTGCACAGGCAGGAGGCCTGCAACAGGGGTAGAAGCTCAGCAGCCCGCTAGCCAAGCCCATGGTGGCACTGCTGGGTTCTGCCCATTGTCTCCCAGCCCCACTCACCATGGAAATTGGGCAGGCGGAGCAGGTAAGGGGCAGCCGAGCCCAGGTGAGCTAGCAGTGTCCTCAGCATCTCTTCATCGCCAGCCTGGAGCGCCAGGTGCAGCAGAGAATTGCCATAGCGGTCCAGCAAGGTGGGGTCGGCCCGAGCTTGCAGCAGGAGCTGGACCACCTGGGGCTGCTTGGTGATGACTGCCAGATGCAGTGGTGTCTGTGGGACAGCAGCACCCTCTCAGCAGTGCTCGCAAGAGGAGCTGAGTCCTGCACCACTGTCCTTGCCAGCATGGCTGCACCGTGCTCAGCCCTGCAGCCTTCCCTCAGCAGGAGCAGCAACAGGAGCCCCTGGGGTTGAGAAACAGGAGCCAGCCCCAGGTAGAGGAGAACCGGCTGCTCTGGGAAACACATACCTGCTGCAGGTTGTTGGAGATGTTGACGATCTGCTGGCTGGGGATGCTAACAATGATTTCGATCAGCTGCTTGATCACAGCCGTCTGCTCATGGATAATAGCAAGGTGCAAAGGTCTGGGGAGAGAGAGGGATGGCCTGTGGCTCAGCTCCATGCTTCTCCACATCCTTCCTGCCACCTCCCACCCCCCAGAGCCCCCATAATGGCTCTGACAGCCCACAGGCCTCTCACACTCTCCCCCCAAACCCCTCATATGCTCACGTGTCTCCATTCTCGTCCTGTGATGCGGCCAGGTGCCTCTGGACTGCCAGCAGCATGCGGGGGTCAGCAGTGACTGAGTAGTCGAGCAGGGCATGGGCATTGCGATGGGCCACCGCCAGCATCCACAGCTGGCAGAGCTGGGCTGGGGGTGAAGCAGGACATCACCACCAGGAGCAGCAGCCCCATCCACCCTCCTGCATCCCCCCGGCACGGAGGAGAATGGCACCCAGCCCCCCAAAAGGTCCCCCAACCCATGTCACCTCTACTAAGCAATGTCTCCCAGCCTTTTCTCCAGCCCAGCCTCCTCCTACCGTGCTTCTGCAGCTCCTTGCAGTACGTGCTCTCCGCAGGCGCCTGTCTGTCACTCCCAGGCCCTCCTGCCTCGGGGCCCTTCATCTGCACACCTCCCTGGTAGCCCCCCACGGGGTGAGGGCCGGGCGAGTAGATGCTGTTGTAGGCCAGCCCAGGGGAGTAGGGGAAGCTGAGGTTCCCGCCTGCAGAGCAAGGGGGAGGACAGGTGAGGCCGGAGAGGACTGGGGAGCCCCCAGGGCTGGGCTGTGGTCACCTGAGCAGGGAGAGCGAAGAGGCACCCTCACTCACCTCCTCCAGAGCCGAAGCCCCCGGCCCCCCCGCCAGCGCCCCCCATGTGTGAACCCCCGCCAAAGTGCTGGGGAAACTGAGGCAGGACTTTCTTGCGCTTCCTCTCCACTTCTTCCTTATCTGCAGGGAAAGAGCGGCAGCAGGGTGACGGGCAGCTCTGGTGGCAGGGTGCACACCAGCCTGCCCGAGGGGTGCTCACCTTCCACCACGGGGTAGTAGGTGAACTGCTTGGAGTCGCTCACGTCGCCCCCCCGCTTCCGCTTCAGCTGCAGGAAGACGGTGACGGGACGGTCGATCTTGGGCTTGTGGTATGGGGGTGTGCGGAAGACGATGGCGTACTGTGGGCAGGACAGACAGACATGGGGTCCTGCTCCTCCCCGGAGTCGGAGACAGGGCTCCCCCAACCTGCAGGGCACCCACTTGCCATGGGGCATGGCAGGACACCCCCCTGCCTCCCCCATACCTGCTTGTGCACGTCAGTGGGGGAGAAGTCCCCAAAGGCCTGCCAGCCGTTCTCATCATCCTCGTAGAAACGCACCTCGATGTCATCTGGGGAGAGAAGGGGCGCTGGCACCGCCTGTCTCCCTGCCCCAGCCAGGCTCCAGGGACACAGACCCCTGGCCCCCTACGGGCCCTCGATCTCTCCTGCCACAGCCCCTCTGGAAGGTTTCGGCTGGAGGGAACAGCATTTACCTTTCTGAACTTTATCACACAGCAAGTAGACCTCGTCCCCTCCCCGCACAGAACCTGCTGTCTTATCCATACGTGAGATCTTCAGGTTGGAAGCTCCTGGGGACTCTGCAGAGTGAGAGGAAGCGTTGGGAGCTGCTGTGGTAGACAGCACCGCTCATCTTACCCCATTCTGCCCTGTCCCCTCCCTGGCCTGGCCCCACACTCACTGCTATCATGGATGGGGTCCGAGATGACGGGCTGGAGGGCCAGTGTGAAGTTCCCGCTGCTGTCACGGAGGTAGGCAGTGAAGCGCAACCGCACAATGCTCAGGTCCATCACCTTCTTCAGCTCCTTCGCCTCCAGCTCGATCTCACGCAGCTCCGCTTCTGCCGGGGCAGGGGGAGATACTGTTAGGCTAGGCAAGGGGATGGGGCTCCAGGTCCCCCCGTCTGCCCCCCAGCCCCATGATAACCCCAGCCCTCCAGCTGTCACCCCGGGGTGCCAAGTCCCACTGAGCCCCCAGGCTGCCCTCACCCGTTAGCAGGTGGCTCCTGTTGCGCATCTTCTGCTGCTTCAGCTTTTCCTTCATGATCTCCATCATATTCTTCTTGGTGACGTGGAGCACACCCAGGTTGCTGAACCTGGAGCAGAAGAGGGATCCTGCTGGGATCTGGGAGCGCCAAGGCTGGGAGCAGCTGGCTCGGGGGCCACATGGGCTCCCGTGGCCGGGAAGGAGGTGAGCAAAGCACAGAGCGGTGCCGCTCAGGAAGCAGGGAGTCAACGCAAGAGGAGCAACCACAGAAGAGAGTAAAGGAGCCCAGAAAAGAGGTGGCTGGGAAACTCTGGGATCCCAGAGGTGAGAAGTCCAAAGGTGAGGACTAGGAGGGCTGGAGGCCAGAGGGATGCAAATGGGACCAGGCTGAACCAGCTGCCAGGGCTGGATTTGTAAGAGTAACTGCAGCAGTTGCTGAATAACCCTGCAAAACAGACTGGCTTCAGAAGTCATCTGCAAAGCTGGGGAGCTGCAACACTGAGGACAGAAGCCCAAAGCAAGCTGCATGTGCTGGATCCAGAGCTGGGCAAAATGCTCAGGGGACAGAGTTTAGACATACTGATGAGCTTGTCTAAACCCAATCCTGGCACCATCCAGCAAACCCAGCTCCTGGATGCACTGACCCCCCTTTTCTCTGCAACCTGTAAGCTGCAGCCAGCCCCCCACCCACCTCGCTTAGGCAAGAAGCCACCCCAGGTCTCCCTCACACATACTGAGCTGTCATGTCCTTGGGTCCCACGATCGCGACGCAGTTGCCGGCCTCGTTGCACTGCTTGCCCACCAGGCTGTGGGCATGCACGCGGGGAGGGTCGCTGTGCGTCACCAGGTCCACCTCAATCCGGGCCATCCCTGTGTAGTTGCAGATCTGTGGGGAAGAAAAGAGATGGCAGTCAGGTACAACATACCTGGGAGCCTGCAGGACTCTCTGTAAACCCCTGCTATCCCTCCCCGTGGCCACCACCCCTCCTGCCACAGCCCTCCCATCCCTCCAGCACCAGGAGACACACAGAGCTTAATATACATTTCCCATCTCTCTTACAAGGCACCCTCCTGGTGCCTGTGCACACCAGCTGAAGATGATGCCCCATCCCCTCCCCAGGGCAGCACTCACCTTGACAGTGGGATAGGTCTTGCGCCCCTTCTCACTGGATGCTCCTGGCAGCCCCCCATGTGAAGGGCCCTCGCAGCCATACCGAAACCGGAACCCCCGCTGCAGAGGCAAAGAGGGGGTCAGCCAAGGGTGACCCAAAGCTGATGCCAGGAGAGCAGGGGTGACAGCTACACCTGCCCTTCCTCAGGTAACATCCTTACCTGCTTCGGCTGCTCAATGATTACAAGGTAGGGACCTTCCACTGGAGGACAGAGAGGAAAGGCACCGGTGAGAAACATGGGGTAACCAAAGTATACACTCCCAGTAAGGATACTGGAGGTATGGGGATGGTGTTGAAGGTGAGGTGACCCCTATCTGACCCATGGGGATCCTCTGGACTCATCCCCTGTGCTGTCAGGAGCCCAGCCAGGAGCAGCAGGACAGGGAGAGAAGGGAAGGACCAGAGGATGCTCTGGCACTTGGGGAGCAGGGAGCCCCTGGGGACCCATCACAGTCCAACCTCAAGTCCCTGGTAGACTGAGCAGCAGGCCCAGACTGAACAGTCCCCATCCCGGTGCCACGGGGCAGGGATTCCCAGCCAGCCCACAGTGGGGCCAGCGGGGACACAGCCCGTGGTGCTGCTGGGAACTATGAGGTGTGAGTCAGCCTGCTGGGAAACCCCGCCGCAGTTGGGGACCCCCGGGAGGGCACAGCCAGAGGGGCCCTTACCTGTCTGCATCACGGGCTCCTTCTGCTCCACCATGTGGGAGCCGAAATTGAAGTCATCGTAGTCAATCCCATCCAGGCACTGGGTGATGGAAGAGATGATGAGTGTGATGAGTGTGTTGGGGCTGAAACCCCCAACTGCCCTGGAGGGCAGGCACAGACACCCATCTCCCACCCTCGGGGGGGACAGTCTGGCACAGACCCCCACTGCCCACCTTGGGGCAGGGGGTTCAGGCACAGATGCCCCATCCCTCCTGGGGAAGAGGGGTGGGCTGGTGCAGACCCCTCATTGCCCACCCCTGGGGGCACCAGCGGACTCACTTCACCCACCCTGGGGGCAGACACAGAGCCCCCGACTCCCAGCCCAGAGGCATGCATAGACTCCCCCACCTCCCACCGCAGTGGCACCTGCAGATCCCCCCATTGGCCACCCTGGGGGCAGACACAGACTCCCCTCACCTCCCACCCCCGCGGCACCTGCAGACCCCCCACTGCCCACCCTGCGGGTGGGCACAGACCCCCCCACCTCCCGCCCCGGGGGCACCCGCAGACCCCTATCTCCCACCCCAGCGGCAGGCGCAGACCCCCATCTCCCACCCCACCCGTGGGGTCAGGCACCGCTCCCAGCCCCGAGCCTCCCCTCCCGGGGCCGAGCCGAGCCCCCCCGCACTCACGGGCTGGAACTGCTCGTCCATGTCTGCGCGGGGCCGGCCGCCGGCCTGCGGGGAGAGCGCGGGGGTGAGCGGGGACCGGCGGCGGCAGGAAGGCACCGCCGCTCCGGAAAGTCCCTAGAAACCCCGCCGAGCCGGGAAATGACGGGACCGCGCGTCACCGCCCCGCCCCGCACCGCCGCGGCCCGGGGCTCGGCTCGGCTCGGCCCGGGGCTCGGCTCGGCCCGGGGCTCGGCTCGGCCCGGGGCTCGGCTCGGCCCGGGGCTCGGCTCGGCTCGGCCCGGGGCTCGGCTCGGCACGGCCCGGGGCTCGGCACGGCTCGGCCCGGGGCTCGGCTCGGCCCGGGGCTCGGCTCGGCCCGGGGCTCGGCGCGGCTCGGAGCCTGGCTCGGCTCGGCCCGGGGCTCGGCGCGGCTCGGAGCCTGGCTCGGCTCGGCACGGCCCGGCCGCTCCTGCGCCCCCCGGCCCGGCCGTCTCCTCCCCGCCGGGCAGTTCGGGGCTCCGGGCTTCGGGCGGGCTGGAAATCCCGGCGGCCGCCCGCGCTCGTTTGGGCGCTGCCTGTCACCCCCGGAGCGCCCCACGGTCCCGAGTTTCCCTCCGGGAGCACGGAGGGGTTTGCTCCGCGCCGGCCCCAGCTATCTGCCTCACTTCGGGCACCAGTCGTCGTACCCTTTCCCAACAAGACCGGCATGACTGAAACCACCCGGACCGTGCCGTAAAACCCAGCGGCAGCCCCTGGGGCCTCCCCAGTCCCTACCCCAAATCATGTCACCTTGATGATGCACTCTCACACAGCCTCAGGGCCCCCCTGGACCCAAACAGGAGCAGCTGCACCAAAGCGCTGCTCCAAATCCCCCTTGTCTCTCCCCTAACTGGGGGAAGCTCTCCAGGACTCTGCAAACCAAAGCCAGCGTATGGCAGCCCCTTGCCAGGCACCCAAAAGGGGTGCTTTCCCATTCCCCCAGTTTCCACTTACACAGCAGGCCCTGTACCCTTCCCGCGGAGGTGGCCTGAGAGAGGCATTTGCCATCCGTGTTCCCGTTCCTTCCTTCCCACTAGGAAGCACCTGGTTTCAAAGCGGGAGCAGCAGCCCCAGAGCCCCCCAGGGGAGCATCTCCTGCTGCCTCGGCACCCAGCGCCGCACGCTCCCTGCCAACAACCCCAGCAAGGCACCGCAAGCAGCAGGGCCCCTTCCCCACCACCCACAGCGCTTGCACCCTCCTACTCACCGGGGAGGAAGAGGCTGGTCTCAGCAACCCGTCCAGGCCCAGCATTGCTGCTGGGACTGCTGGCTACCACTGATGGGGGTCCCGCTGGGGTCAAGGTCTGACTGACCACAGGAAATGACTGGAGACTTCTAACAAAGAGGCAGAATCAGAGCAGAGCCTCCAGGCACATTCTCTTGCTCCGCATTTCTTCTCGCTAAGCAATGGAAAGAGAAAAAAAAAAAAAAAAAAAAAAAAAAAAAAAAAAAAAAGGCAAAAAACTGTATTTGACTCCACAGTGCCCTCATAGCATGAATTTCTGAATCAGTGGTTGCTGCAGGTCCCGCTCGGGGGATTTTGTGTGTGTGGGAGAAGAGGGGAAGGAAGGGGATTGTTCAACCCGTGCGTGACTCATATTCTTCAGAAGCTGAGAAGAGCCTTTTCAAGGAGATTTTCCAGCCACTCAAGTCCTCCAAAGGGGCTGCCCTGCGGCCCCAGGCCTGAGGTTTTCCCCAGCTGGGCTGCCACCTGAGCCCATCCGAGCTCCAGCAGCCCCTGCCCAGCCTGCCTGCGGGATGCAGCCCAGACAGCGGTGCAGCCCGGGACGTGGGGTCCGAGGGACCTGCAGGTGCAGCACGGGGGGCAAGGAGGTTGAAGGTGGAGATCCAGCACTACGAAATGAGGTCTGACCTTCCTCCTGTCATTCTGCAGGGGCTTCTGAAAGCCTGGGAGCACAGACACAACCCCCTCTGGCCTGTGGGAAGCAGCACACACTGCCTGCTCTCGGGATCCCACCGGACATCCCGTCTGGGCAGCCTCAGCCTGCCACCACCAGCCAGCCGGCACAGATTTCCCAGAGAGGTAAAGGAGGGGACAAACATCCTTCCTCAGTGTGATGGAAACAGCCACCTCGAACCCTACTCACTGAGCCTGGCTGGAGCAGCACATGTCAGAAGATGCTGGAGAAGACCAGACTGTTCCCCATGAACAGTACAGCTCCCCTTCTCCAGTGCCAGGCAGCCCCATCCCCTCTGGAGGGGTTTTCACAGCTCACTCATCGCTGCCCCGGACACTTCCACTTGTTGCAGCAAACAGCGTGACTAAGGAACATCATGGGGTTGCACTTGCCTCTCCCCAGCCTGTGCCGCTCTGGCTTACTCGGGAGGTTGCTGGCTGTATGACTGCACACATGTGCAGTGTGCATTAGAGGGAGCCCACCTCTCTCGTCGAACAGAGCTCAAGCACTGTTGCCTGCTTCCTTGTTCCTGGAATAGCAACCTCAGGCAACCTTAGACCTGCTCTCAAGGTAAGTCCTGCCTCGTGTGCTGAGCAGCTGTGCCCTTCAGGCCTCTAGATTTCCCCTAGGAGTGTAACACACTCGACTTTTATCCCCCAGACATCCCAGTGGAGGACCCATCTCCCCCTCCTGCCATCAGGAGCATCCCCTGATCTGTGGTACCCAGTGAATCTGGCCTGGACCCTGGGCTCGCATACACACTGCAGCCCTGTTTTGCTGGGCTAATTCCTCCCTATCTTCAGACTTTCCTGGAGCTCAGGAAGGATTCTCTGGGCATTACTGGGAATGGGGGGAAAGAGCAGCACCCTAACTGTGATTCACTGCCTGGAGCGGCACCGGCTCCCTGCCTCGGAGCGCAGCACAGCCACGGCACCCTTGCCGGGTGGCACAGCTTCCCCATACCAGCCAGACTGCTTCAATTAAGGGCCAGCTGCTGGCAAGTGGTGTGAGTTAAAGCCATTCTTCCATGCCTACAGCACCTTGAACGTGACCTAGTAACACAGGTGCTATTTTCTTTCCTCCCGTGACAGCCGGCTGACTTGCAGAGCCAATGCCCTGTGGCTGGGAGGGAAAGGTCTGTCTGTCTGTCTGCAGTGGGAGTGTTTAGCAGCCATGGGAAAAGACACTCCAGAAACCAAGGTGGCATGAGCGCAACTCTGTTCTGAGCCACCCTGATGTACAGCAGTCGTGTTCCAGCCACCTAGCTGGCTGCTCCTCTAACATACTATTCCCTGCACGTTTTGTCTCTGCTAATGCCTGCAAATGATGGTCCTTGGTTTCTGCACAAATCCTGTGCTCTGCTCCATCCCAGGAGTCCCAACAGCTACTCGCAAGAGCCTGGCAAGAGGCTGCTGAGTCCCTCTTGCACAGCATTCACTGGGACTTTGTTCTGAGGCCCTTCCTGGAAACTGAGTCCTTGACCTGTAACTGTGGCAGAGAGAAATCCCCTCTCCCTGAAAGCTGTCCAAGCCTTCCCCTCCCCAGCAGTCTGCCCTTGAGCACCGAAGCCATTCGTATCTGTGCATAAAATGCCTTTACTCCCATCGTGGCTATCAAGTTGGTTTTGGCAAACCCCAGCCACCCACTGATCTTCTGGTTTTCTCCTCTAGGGCCTGTGAATTAGCTGCTGTGCTGTTGTGTTATGAACCATCGGCTCCAGTTGTGTATCTGCGTGCCCTCAGAAAACCCCTCTCAGTGCCAGCCGGGTGTTTGCTGTCTCTCACTCTCCCCGGTTTCCGCTCTGCCTGCGGTATCACTACTGCGTCGGCGTTCACGGCTCCTTTTGGGGTAGAGCTAGCTGAGCCTGCGGGTGTGGATCTCTTTCCATCAGGGCCGGCAGCAAGCCAGCCCTGCTCACCCCGCAGCCAGGGCTCAGCGTGCTGAGGGAGAGCCACAGGACAGGGCAGTGCTCACTGGCAACATGGAAACAGGACAATAAGCAACTTCCCCGCTGGCAGGGAAATGGATGTTGGCACCAGCACTGGGACTTGCTTTTCCCTCCCCACGCTAAGACAACAGATGTCTCTCCAGCCTGTACCTTCCCACCACCTCTCCCAGCTGGCCCCAGAGCCGGCCGGGAGGCAGCCAGGGACTGGCGTGGCTGCCGTGGCGAGGGAGAGGCGAGGAGCTGCCGACCTCGGCAGGGACGGGCAGCCCCGGCACCGAAACTTTAAACCCCTCGACCAGTTCAGCTCCCTTTCCACTGGGAATCCGGATACACCTGCACCCGCGACCCCAGCGCGCCCACGGCGAGGGCCGAGGGGCTCCGCTCGGGCGGAGGACGGCAGGCTCAGCATCCCCCCGGGTGCGTCCCCACGGGCCGGGCACAGCCGCGCTCACCCCGGCCCCGGGGGACCGGCACCCCCGGGCAGCGGCCCCCCCCGCCCCCAACACCCCCCCCGGGGTCGCCCCCCGCCCCCGGGCCCGACCCCGCGGAGCCCTGCCCGCCCCGGCCGCTCACCTTCAGCCCCGGCCCCGCCGCCGCCGCCGCCCCCCGGTCGCGGCTCCGGGAAAGTCCCGTCCCGGCTCCGCCTCCCGGGGCTTCCCGGGCCCGGCTCCGCCCCGGCGGGGACAACGGCAGGGAGGACCGGGAGACCCCCCGGCAGGACGGGACGTGCAACTCCAGGCTGCCGCGTCCCGGGTGAAAGCGCTTGTTTTTTACCGGCCTGACACTGGGGGCAGGGAACTGAGCCCCGGGCTCACCACCCTGCCCCCAGAGCCGCAGCACCCCTTGTCCCGCACCCCTTTGGGGCCTGGCCCCAAAGCCGGTCACTGCTCCAGTCCTGCTGCGGGGAAGGACAGTCCGCCTCGCCCCTTGGCTGATTTTCACTTTTATTATTGTAAATTCACTGTTCCCTCTTTAAATATAGATATTTAAACATATATTAGATATAAAAGTCAGAAATGCTCCTCTTCAAACTACATATACTGGTGAATTTATAGGCCGATTTTGAAAAGGTTGACAAACCAGGAAGCCCAACCTGATCAATGCGCACAGCAGCAGCAAATGCCCCTGTCCAGGGATGAGGGAAATTTATCTATGTGTATATATATATATAGATATGTAGATCTATATACACACGCACGCATATAGATGCATTCATCCCCCTCTACACCCCACTCCTCCACCCAGCCCCCTGCCCAGGCCGGGTCTCAGCCTGAGGAAGCTGGGGCTGAGCGGGATGGGCTCTCACCAGGCAGGCGCTGACCGGGCTGAGTGCTGGGAAAGGCACCGGAGGACGGATTTGGGAGTCCCAGCAGAATGGGGTGTGGGTTTCTTCTGTTCCTACAAGAGCGCTTCCTCTCTTTGTGCCTGTGCTGTCCGGGTGGGAGGGCTGGCAGCAGCCCACCCCCGGGGCTGGGAGGCTGGGGCTGGGGCGTGCAGGCTCCCGGGTGGGACAGCTTAGGTTGGCAGAGCTACAGAGGGGAAATCTGCTTCTCTGCAGGCGCTGTGCTTGCAGGACATCCTCAGCGGGACAGCAAATGCAAAGACCCATTTCCTAACCTGCCTCAGCAATTCTCCTCCAAGCTGAAAAAATGTGGGAAAGTCATCAGCTGAAGGCATGGAAGGCCCCAAGCAGTGAGAGCTCTGGCTGGAAGGGCCAGCGCACACCAACTGGGGCTGCTGGTGTCACCCTGCAGCAGCACAAGGCACTATCCCTACCTGGGCAGGTGGGCAGGGAGAGACCCCCTGCTGCCATCCTCACTGGGGCTGCAGGCAGACCGGCACTGTCACCACCTCCCAAGGAAGGGAAAAGGCACTTTGGGTTTTTGGCTCCTCTGGCAGTCACAGTGGCCAGCTGGACGGCTTGTTCTGCTGAACCCTATTCCTGTGGCCATGGAGGAGGGAGGCATGGTGATCCTCCTTCACCAGCACACCAGGCTTGAGTGGTGAGGGGAGGGTGAGCCCTTTTCCCCCACATCCCTTACAGAAGGGGGCCTCTGTATGATTGCCTCTGACAGCCCCCAACTCAGACAGGGAACACTGGAGGCTCAGGGGCAGATCCCGACTCCGCCGATAGCAGCATCTGGCTGGCATCCTTGAACCGCAGCAGTGACCCCAAATCCCACGGGCAGGGAGGGGGCAGCCCCTGCAGGGAACACTGCCTGTCGGAGGAGCCCGGGTTACAGCTCCCACCAGGAGGGGAGGGCACTGCATGCCCACACGTGCACACACATGCACACACGCACCCCGAGGCTTCCGGGGTTTTGGAGACATTCAAGGCAGGGGAGTCACTGACAGAGCCAAGTTTGGGGGTCCCCGCCATGAGCCTGCTTCTTGTGGGGGTCAGGCCATAGCCAGGCCCTCTGCGTGGCTGTGGATGTGCACCGTGCTGGATACGCTGCTCTCGCCTTTGTAACTTTTGGGGGCCCGGCTGGCTTTCAGCAGGACCAGAAAGGTGTCTGTGGAGATGGCCCCAAACTCAAAGGTGAAGGTGCCATAGAAGACCAGGACATCGATGATGAACATCCACTCGCACAGGGCGGCCACATGCTGCAGTACGAAGCTCTCCTGGATGAAGAACACACCACCTGAGGGCATTCCCATCAAGGAAAGCACAGGTGGACCCCAAACGCCCCATGGAGTGCCCACATCCCACAGCCACTGCGTGCTGGAGTGGCCATAAGCAGCCCCCTTCTGCAGGAAACACACCACAACCTCTAAAACCTAAGAAACCCCACATGCTTCCCCCAGCACCGGGAGAGCCCTGGCACAGGTGAGGCAGTGGCACACATGCCCAAACCAGCCTCCATAAATCATGGGACTGATGCCAGGAGGGGATTTTCTGAAGAGGCCAGGGCAGGGGAAACACAGGCTGCAGCCCTCAGGCCAAGACGGGTGCCCAGGTGCCTCACCCTCTCCACACCCCTTGCCTCTTCCTCAAACCGGGTGAGGGGGTTTGGGCTGCTGTGTCCCAGCCCCACAGCACCCCCCAGCCTTCTGCACTGCTGGCTGGCTCACCCCAGAGAGGGGGCCTGCTCCCTCTCCTCCAGGTCCTACTGCTTCCAGAGCTTGTTTATGCTTCTCTCATCCCCACTGGGGATCTCTGGGAAAACTACTGCCAGAGCCACCACAGGTGAAGGGAGAAGGCAGGTACCTCCCCCAGCCCTCCAGGTGAAGGCTGTGGCAGTACCCTGCCTTCTGCCAGTGACAGCAAGACCTGAGAAAGCCAAAGAGGCAGGGACCTGACCCACGCTGGGTAAGGCCCTCTGCTCACTCTCCCCATCCCACCAGGAGAGGTCCCAGCCCTTTCTCCACACTGTCCCCACCAAAACTCGCTGCTTTTCCACTTCCAGTGCTTACAGAGTAGCATGGCCAAGGCAGATGGGCACCAGTCCCATCTCCCTTGTCCTTACACGTCCTACCTGTCCCTCCCAGCCACAATGGCCCCATGGCACTCCTGCCCTTCCCAGCTCCCTGCCTGCTTTCTGCCCTGCCTGCCTGCTGTGGTGACAGAGCGGGACCCTCTGGCATGCCCCAGGCCCACCAGAACCACCCCCCCCGAGGCTCCTCTTATGCTACACACCCCAGCCAGCCTCTTTGGGACCTGTGGACACCATATGCGTTTTCTCCTTCCTGCCCAGTAACCACCACCTTATTTCACAATTTATCCCTAACCTTAGTCCCAAATAAGCCCCTGGCTCCCTGACCACACACGCAGGATCATTTTTCCAGTCCTGCTCTGCCTGCCACCGTACTCTCCCTCTCTGGCATGGTGTTTGCAGACCCCAGTGCCTGCTCACCGAGCCCTCCCTGGTCCCATGGGCACGTCGGCCAGCAGCTGCCAGTGAGCCCCAGCTGGCAGAGGTGCTGCCATGTGCCTGCCTGGCATCCTCATAGAGCACCTTTGTACTCAGCTTCTGTCATATAGGTAACTCAGATGGACTTTGCATTGCCGAGGGCTCAACATACCTCTGTCTTATTACAAAAAACAATTAACCAGCCCTTCCACTCTGCACGGTGTGGGGCTGGAGCCTGCAGTGGTGGCTGGGCCGGGTTGCACCAGCCAGGGCAGGGCTGGTTTGGGGCACCCCAGCGCCTTGAGAGATGCCCAGCCACATCCCTTTCCCTCCTCAGCCCCTGCACGGTCCTGATACCACTGCTCCTCCAGCCTACCCCTGCAGCGAGCTGCCTGTCCTCAGCTCCCAGCCCAGCCCCTCTCCTGGCACCGTGCCTCGCTGCCAGACCAAAGGATGGAGGATGTGTGGTGCGTACCCCCAGCAAGGACCACCTTTCACCAGCCCATCCCAGATCTCCTCCCCACACCCTTTAGAAGGATACTGAAGACAAGGGTGAGGAAGGCCACAGCTGTGAGGATGCTACGCAAGTGGCCGGTCCAGTACTGTCCGCGGGTTTTGGCCATGCGGTAGGTGAGGATGGACTGCAGGAGCAGGAACAGCATGCTGGTGGGAAAGGCCACCCCCGCCCCAATGTAGTGCAGCACCTTGGCATGATCCACCTGCGGGGGAGAGACCATCCGTGCCGGCACCCTGGGATGCTCCCCTGGCACAGTTCAGCTCCAGGGGGTGGGCTTGTGCCCACGCAGGGGTGCAGGCAGTGCCAGGAGTGGGTCCAGGCAGCTCACCCTGTGCCCAATTCCTGGCTGAAGAGCAGATGTGGACCCACTGTCTGCTGCTGGGATCTCAAGGTGCTTGTTTCTTTTGTCTGTGTGGTGACAGCTCCTGAGCCCCTCGTGCCGACAGCCCTGCCGTGCCTGGGGACACGGGGCAGGAGCTGCCCTCTGCCCTGAGCCGCACCTGGGGCTGCCCGCACCCCCTCCTGAGGGCCACAGCCCTCCCTTCAACAGAGCCACTGAGCCACGGCTGGGGCACAAGGCGGGGGGATCAGGGCCAGTGAAGTTTCTCCCGGGGGGGTGGCGGCAGCAGCAGCCTCCTGCCAAGCGGAAGGGACCGGCTGCGGCTGCGGCTGCGGCGGGCAGAGGGCCGGCAGCTGCCGGGAGGCCGGTGCCTGGCAGCGCAGGCCGGGGGGTGAGCGCCGCCAAGCCCCGGGCTGCTCCAGACCCCGTGAGAGCAGGCTCTGCCCAGTTTCCTGGCATCACCCCCCGAGCAGCAAACATCCACAGTGGGATGGCCGGGCAGCGGCAGCATCGGCTGCTTGGCCAGGGCTCCTCTGCCTGGCTGGCATGTCCCTGCCTGCGCGGGGACACGCGTCCACGGAGGGGACGGACCGTGCAGAGGGTCTCACATAAGGGTTAAACCAAACCCGGCAGCTTAATCTGCACCTAAAACTATGAGTGCATAAGCACAGAGGACTGCCAGTGACTGGGGAAGCACTGCGCCTGGTGGAGGTGAAGGAGTGCATGGATGGGGGGACTGGATCAAAACAACCACCCCAAATCCTACACTGCTGAGTGCTGCCACTGCCCCGTTCCAGCCAAGGCCCCCTCTCGCCCCCCCCCCCGCCTCCAGGACCCCTTGAGGAGGTGCCTTACCTGGAAGTTGCCGACCATGGTGAGGCCGGCAGCGCAGACCCAGCCAGTGGCCAGCCCCAGGGTGTTGAGGAGGGATGGCCCGAGGCGCTCCAGGAGGTGGGCGTATCGCAGCAGCCCCACCAGGATGACTGGGGGAGGGAGACACAGCCCCATCGCACGCCATCGCCACCTGCGGCCCCCTACCACCCGTCCCTGGCCCCCACCGGGGGGTGAGCGCCACAGGGTGCCCTGCTGCCCCGGCAGCAGGCACTTACCCATGAAGGAGCCCAGGCTGCAGATGAGGCTGAAGAAGCAGCTCTCGGGAGGCAGGGTGCCACACTTGCTGCAGGGATAAGGCAAGGCCCGGGGACCCCTCAGCTGGGAGGCACTGGGGTGCAGCGCTTGCCACCCTCCCCAGGACACGCTCCTGGGTTGCCTGGGGGGGGGGCTCTCGGAGTGGCTCTGATGCCTGGCCAGCCCCCTGCTCCCCACCCTGTGGCTGCTCACCTGACGAGGGGGATGTGGTCCAGAGTGCAGCAGGAGCCAGGGCCATCCACGCCGCATGACTGGTTGTAATTCCTGCCGGGAGCAAAGTGACAGGCTAGGAGAACAGAGCTGCTGCCCCGGACCCTCCTGCCTCCTGCCCACAGGCCCTGCAAAGGCAGCAGAGCTGCTCCCCAGCGAGCGCAGCTCGACCCCAGGGATGTGCCTGCACCCTGGTGAGAAGCCCCCTCCAGGGTGTGACCCACCACCCAACATGGTCCTCTGGGAGCATCATGCCTGGGTTTCCACAGCCTTTCCCCTGCCTGCTGGCTCTGCTGCCCACCCGGAGCCCCTGCCTGCAAGGCAGGAGCCATGGCAGAGCGGGGGGGCTGCAGGCACCCGCTGGGTGCATGGGCTGGGGGGCTGCGCTCAGGGGGTTCTGGCAGCCCCACGCCCCAGGCGGGAGCAGGAGCACCCATGCTCCAGCCTTGCCACACATATCCCCGGGGTGGGAGCATGGGTGCAGCTGGGCAGGCAGCTGCTGACAGCTCCCGGCTTGCACGGGCAGGGCGGGAACGCTGAGCGGGAAACTAAGCACCCTGGGGCAGTGCCACCCAGCCTGGGAGGGAGGGAGCTGCCTGAGGGGGGACACGACGGGAGCAAGCCCCCAGGCTGCCCTGGGGAACCTGGCACAGGGTCAGGGCATCCCCCCGGGGGCCTGTCAGCAGCCCCCAGTGCCGCTGGGCTGGGGCAGGGCTTTGCTGCCTGCAACCACCACGGGGCCCTGGAAGTGCCTCTTGCAGCCACAGACCCTGCAAGCCCCGGGACCCAGAGCTCTTATCAGCCTGAGACACCTTCCTGTACCACGGCTTCTGCCTGCAAAAGTAACCAAATTCCCCCCCACGAGGGTACATGCCCCCTCACCCTCCTGGCTCTGCTGGGAGCTGGCACACACTCGCAGCAGGTTTTTGGGCACCCCTTTGCTGCAGCATCACCCATGCACCTGGCATCTCTGGCTGGCACACCTGAGTGGGGCCCCCTCCCCACCCCACCCCTGCAGGCAGCGAGCCCAAAGCCCTGTGCCCCAAAGAGCCCACTCAGATACCCCCAGCCCTACGGGGGGGACAGGAGCTGTGGGGGGGCCTGTGCTGCCCTGTCCCTGGCCCAGACTGCCCATCAGCTGCCTCCAACCTTTCAGCAAGTGCACAGTTAAAAAGGTCTTTTTGGAAAGGGCCTGGCTGGGCTCTGGTGTTTTTTCAGTCTCTTCGTTTACTGGTGGCTTTGTTTTCCAACCGCGAAGCGTGGAGCCCCACGGCCTCCTCAAGGGCTGCTCTTGGGGCCATGTTTGGTTTGGGAGGGGTTTTTTTATTAGTATTTTGTTTAAAGTGAGCAGCCCGAGGCCGGGAAGCATTATTCATCATTAAGGGCTGGCTGTGTGGTGGAGACAACCGACACACACATTCTTCCCAGGGCAGAATCAGCCATCAGGCAGGAAATGGCAGTGGTTGTTTTTTTTTTTATCCCTTCTTCTTCAAACACTCCAGCAAGAATTAAACTAACATGGATTTTTCTGGGCAGATATTTAAGGAGACACAACAAGCCAAAAACCCTGCAGAAAAAGTTGCCAAGAAAACAAACACGTTTTTTTCCCCAGCCCTTGCCTCTCCTGTGCCTTGTCCCCCATCCCGGGGTGCTGCAGGCAGCTCTCCCTGTGGGGTGGCTGGGCACCGTGGGGCTGTCCCATCCCCCTGGCGCTGCCAGATTTAGCCTCCAACAAGCAAGCCTCAACCTTTTCCATGGAGACACACGGCCCTCTGTAATTCCCTGACTACTTATTTTCATACTTTCTCCATGCTGTGTTTTTTCAATGGCCTCCTTCTCCTCGCCTGGTTTGGTTTGCAGCAGGGCCGGACCATTCACCGGAGCAGCCGTAACCGCAGGCGAGCCTGGGCGGGGGAGGGAGGGCAGCTTTTGATAGCCCTGCTCAGCCCTGGCATCCTCTCTGCTTTGCAAACTCGGGGCCCAACCCTGGCAGCAGCTAGTCTCCAAGTGGCTCTGCTCCCAAAAGCCACTCGTGGGTGGGACAGGAGACATACCCTGGGGCGACCGTGCCCGATCGCTGTCACCACCATGTCTGCTGGGGGAGAAGGTGGCTCTGTGTCCCCCGTAATGCTCCCATCTCTCCTGTTATCCCCAGCCCCCTCCCACGGACAGCCTGTTCCCCGATGCCCCTTTCAGCACAGTGATAGTGCAGGCAGGGTCTCAGCTACCCGGTGGTCCGGCACAGCATGGCACGGTTCAAACAGGTCGTGTGGGGTCTTGACTGAGCCAGTCTCTGGCAAAGGGCCCCTGCTGCCTCCCCAGGCCTTACCAGTTGTGGACAGGGCAGATGTGGTTGTTGGAAAGCGCCATGGCATACCTGGGGGCGAGACAACAGCAGGGGTTATCGCAGCCACCCGCCTCCCTGCATCCCCACTCTCGGCCAGCACCCAGAGCCAGCCCCAGGGACCGTCGGGAGCAGGGGGTACAAGCCCTCGCTGCCTGCCAGGGGCCAGTGCTCACCCTGTGGCACCTCCTGGCTTTACAAAGAAGCAAAAAGAAAAACAAGTGCATGAGCCCAGCCCGCGCTCTGGGGAGCTCCTGCCGCCGGGACCAGGTCCCCCTGCCCAGTAGCCCCATCCCTGCTGAGAGTGGCCTCGTGCTGCCGTGCTCCCTGGGCTCTGGGGGGCTCTGCTGCAGAGCCCCCCACCCCGGCATCAGGGCTCTCCACCAGCCTACAGCTGTGCCGGGTGTCACCCGATGGCCACCAGGCTCTGCGCTGCTTCCTGACAGTGCCCGAGCTAAAAGAAGTCTGGAAAAGCAGCCGGTGTCTTAGCAGGGTGTTTTGGTCAGATCAGCTCCATCGAGCATTTCGCTGTGAAGTCCTCCCTGAACCTCAGTCAGTGTAACAAGGGGTTCATGACATGCATCCTGCTCAGCTACAGGTGGGTCTCAGCCCCGTGGCCCCCCCAGCCAGTGAGGAGCCCTCCCACCTGGCAGCCACAGCAGCAGGCAGCACTGTACTGTTCAAATTGCTGCCACCAGCGGCCATAAACAGCTCAGGTTAAAAACAGGCACTAACACCGGTAAGAAAACCCCTCTTCTGCCTGAGCTGGCCACATAACAGCCAGGCTGCGAAAAGGATGATCCCAGCAGGGGAGTGCCAGGGCAGAGAGCGGGTCAGCTAGGGGTGATCAAGAGTCAGCACTGCCCACCCCAAGGGCTGCCCACCAAGAGCATGAGCCCCCACACACCCTGCAGACCCCTCACCCAGCCACCTCCCAGCACAGTTCTCCCCCAAGCACCCAGTTCCTAACCCAGCCCTCCTTGCCCTCCTGGGAGGGAGCACTAAGCCAAAAGGGGCACAGACAGCACTGCCCTCCCCCAGTGGGATGTGCCCTGACCCACCTGGTCCCCCCTCACAGCTCTGCACCCCAGGCTTGGCCAGCGGGGCCCCACATGGGCCACGCACTCCCACATGCAACTGCCCAGCCTCACCCTGCCACTATACTGATGAGGGGCACAGCATCCCCCAGGCAGCTACGGGACATGTTTGGGGCCAGAAAAAGGGACTGAGAGCCCCCCCCTCCCAGGGCAGCTCTGGCTGTGAGGACCATGAGCAGCACCTCCCACCTGTGCTGTTCCAGGCTGAAGGGGCATCTGCTCCCCACGGTCACCCATGAAAGACAGCCATGGCTTCACAAGGCGTCCATGGAAAAAACTTGGAGGATGAATTCCTTGCACCAGGGTCAGCATTTGGCTTTGTCATGAAGGAGGACAGGAGATACCACAGGGGGGAAGCTCTCAGAGGGACCTACACGATATGGGGTGTGCTGGCTCCATCCCACACCCCAGAAAGTACCATTGCCTATGCTGGGGCTCCCTGTGATCCAGTGCCCACCACCCCTGTGGCAGTGGCACAGGGGGGTTGATGGGCCAGGGAAGGACAACCCTATGTGACCAGCTGAGGTCCAAGGCCCAGGGAAGGGACCAGCAGGGTGGGCTAGTGCCTCTGCCCCCAGCACAAGGGCGAAATGTCCCCTGGCCCTCCCACCCTTCCATCACAGGCAATAGGTGCCCATGTGCTGGCTACTGCCCCGGCGCTGCGGGACCCGGGCTGGAGGCATCGCTCCCAAGGCCGTTCCTGTGCCACCTATGCACCAGCCACACTCACTCCTGGACAGGGGCACGCGATCCCAGGGGTTGTCAGGGGTGCCTGGCCAGGGAGGCACATGCCAGCGCCGCTGCAGTGGGCGCAGTGATCACGCAAGGTGGCTGCGGGGGGACGGGGAGGTGTGGGAGCCCCTGAGTGTGCAGAAGCATTCCAGCATGACACGGGGCCAAGGGTGCTCCGCAACCCCCCCCCGGCCCGCACCATCCCACGCTGCAGCATCCCGCAGCATCCTCCAGCCCCGCGGCCTGCAGCATCCCACCCCCCCAATATCCCGCCCCACAGCCCGGGCGACCCCGGCCCCGCCGCCAGAGGGGTGCGGGGCTGGCGGGGGCTCCGGGCCGTCCCGCGGCACTCACACGATCCACATGCCGGTGATGGTGAAGGCAGGCAGCGTGACGGGCAGGATCCCCCAGGCCGGCATCCTGGGGCCGGGCATGCCCCGCCGGGCTACGGGCGAGCGGGGCCGCCGGGGGAGCCTCCCCGCTGCCTCCTGCTGCCGGGCCGCCGCCGGGCTGCGCGCCCCATGGGCGGCCGGGGCCGGGGCCGGGGCCGGGGCCGGGGCCGGGGCCGGGGCCGGGGCCGGGGCCGGGCGGGCGGAGCGAGGTCCGGCGGTGCGGTGCGGAGCCGAGCCGAGCCGGGACAGCCCAGGCCGGCCCCGCCCCGCGGGCAGCGCGGGTCCCGCTCGGCGGGCAGGGCCCGCCCCGTCCGGCGGGGAGCGGGGAGCGGCGGGGGGGGGGGGGGGGGGGGGCCCGGCGCGGCCCCGGGCGCCACGTGGCGGCCGCGCTGCCGGCCCGGGGGGGGACGCGCCGGCACCCCCGGCCGGGGGGGCAGAGCTGGGGAGGCGGCCGGGGAGCGGGGCTTGCAGGGAGCCGCTGGAGGCTCGGGGTCTGCTGCGGCTTGTGCTCTGCAGGACGCAGCCCGGCCGGAGGGACGCGATCCTGCTCGGCCAGAACAGCGCGGAGGGGACGGCGGGGCATCGCCCAGCAGCAAACACCCCCTCCCTGGAGCTGCAGCCTTTGCCGGGGCTGAATCGGACAGCGGCAGCGAGCTGAGGACTTGCCCCCCAGACCCAGATGATGCTCTCTCAGCTCCAACCACCATCCCTGTGGCTGTGCGGGCTCCTCCAGCAAACGTGGCCCAGAGGGCACTGTCTCAGCGCAGAGGTGAGGCAGGAGGTACAGCGCCAGGTGACAGCCAAGCACAAAAGACCTTGCTCACTCTCCTCTTCTTCCTCAGGGGGAGACAGTTAAACTGGGCTCAGCCTTTCCTCCCGAGGACAAGGCTCTGTTTGAGCCCACGCCCACCGATCTCACACTCTCACTAAATGGCTAGCGACATCTCGGCTGCCTCAGGCACTGGAAGCCACGGCCCGCACCCACTGTCCCAACCAGGTTAGTCTGACCTCTCCTCGCCCAAACAATTTCTACAAATGGCTCAACTAGGGATTAAGTTTAGCAGCCACCCACCAACTCTGCTGCCCTGAGAAACTTGCATTTTTCTTACATGGAAAACTTGAATAGAGGAAGCACAACTTCCCCTGGCAGAACAGCTGAGCTGTGCCAAGGCCGCGGCAGCCCCATTTCCCTACTGGTAACTCAGCCATAACCCACCCTCCCACTCCATGGCTGCTTGCGGCTGTGTGTTCGCACGTCCCAAAACGTGCGGCGTAGCCAAAGGGTGCATGCACCCCTAGGGCCCTGGAGCGGCTGCTGCTCATGAAACCTGCACCCTCCTGCTGCCTTCTGCAGAGAGGCGGTGCCCGGGAGCAGCACCTGCCCTGGCCTGCATGGGAGGGGAGCTGCGGCTGCCCATCTCCTCACCCGAGGTGCAGGTTATGCAACCGGGGGAGTAGTGCACACTGGGACTTGTAGTCTCAGGGGATCTCCTCTCCCTACATGTTGAACTGCCCTGCAGGCAGCCGCCTCTCAAGCGCATGGTCTCTCTCCTTGCCGTTCACCCCATCAGTTCCCTGACCTTTCACTGCAGGAGCTGCACTCCAGAACTTTGCTCCCGAGGTGGTTGCGCTTCCAACAGCTGCCCCCCCCGCACTTCTGTCCGCCGGGGGGAGAGCAGGCCTGGCCCTCCCTCTCCCGGCAGCCCCCGCGGCCGCCCGGACAGACGGGTGGGAGCACTGCGGCCCAGGGCGGCGGGCACCGGGCCAGGCCCGCCGCCGCCGCCGCCGCCACCTCCCGCAGCCTGGGCCGGGCTCAGGTTGCTCCCAGGCCACAGAGCGAGCGGTACAAACCCTGCCGGGCTGCCTTCCGCACAGGTGGGGCCGCGGAGCGGGACCCTGTGGCTTCAGGATACTTTAGGCTTCGTAACCAGCACAGACGGTTTCAGAGGAGCCCGACAGCTGGCATTTCTAGGAGTGAGGGTAACTTCTCAAAAAGCCATCTCACTGTTTGAAGATACTTCATGGAAACCTTTCCTACAGACCAGGTCTTCTGAGTATGCTCAGATCTAAAAGCAACATTGCTTCAGTTTCACAAGTTCCAGTGCCAAATTTCTGTTTTACAGCCAGGGCTTGTCTTTCAAACAGGGCTTTCTCCCACTAAGGAAGCTTCACGCCACTGAGGAAAACACCAGATCTACAGTAACGCATCCTACTGACGCACACTAAATCCCAATACTTATTCTGTTTCGGCAGTGTAAATTCTTGCTGTAAATGGGAACAGAAGTACGTAAATCCAAACTACAGTGATGTCTGTCCAGCCTCCTCTGGAAAACAGTGAGTCAGGCCTGTAAAAATGAGAAGTCCAAGACTAGAAAGAGTATAGGTTGGGGCAAACCTGAAGGCTAGTGTTGTGAACACTGCTCCTCACCAACAGTCACAGGTAGTATGACTGTCTCTTATGTAACTGAAGTTACAAAGAGTTCGAGAGACTTACCAATAAAAATATGTGTCACAGCACATGCTACCTGTCAGTTTATTCTGATCTCCTTTTGGTTTACTTTCCCTGTTACTTTTTCCTCTGTAACACATGAAACCTTGTTATTGAAAAATCCAAACAACATTCAAAGAAATTTTTTTTGGTCTTCCAGTCCATTCCTATTTACAGTCTAGTGAAAACTGTTTAAAGTGCAATTCTGTCTGTATTTCCAGCTGACATTCTTTCCATTCCAGTCCCATTTCCTGCAGTTTCCTTGGGTGGCTTTTTCTCTGCACCGCAATTGTCTGAATTAAGACGTAATGCTCCCGGTAGAATTTGGGTTTGGAAACACAGTTTAAAACAGCATCTCCCAAACAATTATCTGAAGGCAGCAGGAAAAACTGGGCTTTGCCATTAGCTGACACCATTCCAAGAAGTCCAAGGACTGTCTGGGGATCAGAGGGCAGTAGTACTGACATCAAGGCACTTGACAATTGAGACATGGTTTACAAAGAGTTAATAATCTAAAGGTTTCAGTGAGCTTTTTGGAGACAGCTCAGAAAAACAGAGCTGTAAATAGAAGCGAAGGCTTGGAAATACAAGACAGAGAGGCAGGCTGGATACGGAAGGGCCATGGGCAGTGCAAGGATTCAAATACATGAATGAAAACATCTGAGGGCTGGAAGGACACAATCTCAAAGCTGTGGAGGGTGAGGAAGAGAAGGGTGCAGCAGTGAAAATATTCCAGGAATGGTGAGAATGGGGTAAGGGAACCAGGATTTATTAACAGGACTTTCCTAGTATGTGCATTGCTCTTCCATTACGCAATATTTAGACCTTTGCTCATGCAATTCAAACAAACTCCAAGTTTTCAAACTCCTTATCAAGCCCACAGGAGTCTTTAGGAATCCTTAAGATAGGGAAGGCACTGATGCCTTACACGGATCTAAGGACACTGTGGCACGGCCTGGATCTTGCCACAAGACAAAGTAGAAAATATCAGGAGGGAAGTATGTCTGGTTATCCACATCCATGGCAAGCGTTAGCCCTGTAAGAGCCCAGGATCTCTCATGCCCTCTGCAAGTCCCAAGTCCTGACAGTGAAAACAAGGATTTCTTCCTCATCGGGCAGAAAATGCTCCCTTCTCCAAAGTCAGCCAGGTTGCCACTGAGGTCTGTGTTCTGGCTGCATGCTGAGATGCCACAGGGCACCTGCTCCTTGGCCCTAGTCTCTGCCCTCAGTCCTGGCAGTGCATGAGTACACACCAACTTAACACCAGAGATGTTACAGCTAACACTAAACCGTTGCCAGAAGCAAGGGCAATCTAGCTGTCACTCCTCTGCTTTGCCCATGATGGGAACCATTTGTGCTTAGTCCCTCGATGGTCAACCCCCGCTGCAGCCCTGCCACGAGCTGACCATTTGTTAGGGCAAGCTCCCCTGTGCTCCTTATCAAGCCAGGGGGCTGGCAGCCAGACACAGCACCTTGACAACTAAACTTATCTCCTCCCAAAGCTGTGAGCCGCAGAACCACAACAGAAAAGCAGTGCAACGCTGGAGCATTCATTTACAGGATGTATTTATTACACTGTAAAAAGTCCATTGGATTTGTAGCCATTTACTCTATATGTACACTGGCTGTACTCCCACCCCAACTGTAGCTTCATCTCAGAACAGTATACACTGGCTTGGAGTCCCGCCCATGCCCCTCCCAGTCACCAGTGGGATTTCGGGGATTGGTATTTATTGAGAATTTAGCCAACTAATTAAGAGAGGAGGAAGAACGGAGATGCAGCACTTGCCAGGCAGCCAGCTCTGTTCGGGGCATGAGGGGGTAGAAGGGCGGGACATCCTTGCTGCAAGGCAGAAGCACAAGAATGACTGCGAGGGCCTCAGCTGCAGGGGCGTTCTAGGAGAAGGAGGCGGGCTCACAACAACTAGAAAATGCAGAAGAGTGCAATCTCTGCAGAGCTTCCAAGAGAAAGCACAGTAGACTTGCTGGGCATCTGTCAGCAGGTGCCACATATCCCCACACCTTCTCTATCTGAAGAGGATGTTCTCCTAAGGAATGGGGATGGACACTATGAGGCCAATGTAGCGAGTGGTGGACAACACAGCGCTGCTGTGCACCCCAGGGGAGTGGCTCCCCGAGCGCTGTCTGAGAGATGGCGATGGTGCCCTGCTCTCAGCTCACAGGACTCTGCATTTCCTTCTCACCTGCTCAACTAGACAGAGCCTTCTGAATCTGCTGCCTCCAACCAAAAAGCCTGATTATATTTACAGGAGGAGGGGGGAAAGCAGTGCTGCCCCTACCAGGCTCCCCTGCTCCCTATCTGGCATGGGGATTACTGTGATCCGTGTTGGAGAAGGAAAGCACGTGGCCACAGCAGACAAGAAGCCCTATGTAGCAAGCTGGGACCTGTACTATAAGCAATCCACATTTCCACACAAAATTCTCAACCTGCTGAACCCAAGCATGCCCAGAGCCCAAACAAAGCAGTGCGACCAGAAGCATGGGCAGGAAAGCTAGGGAATGGCTGGGGAATTGTCCAGGAATTGGATTGAATAATCAGGCAGTACAGGCAGCCTTGTACTGCAGCCCCTCTCTGGTGAGACATCAAAGAGTTTTCCCTCTTCACCAGATGAACTGGTGGCAGCTTGGTCCCAGGCTGCTGGTTAAGGGTGTTGCCTGGCCCTCGAGATTGTGAAGGCAGGACAAGACTGGTCAGTGGAACTGGGCACCCCTCCAAGAAGACAGGGATTTCTAGGTGGATTTCTAGGTGGTTGCCCCAAGAAGGGAGTAGAATGTGATGTGCTCCAGGGGGACTATGGCAGCAGCCCTTCTGCTCAGCTAAGCTAAGCTCATCATCTTCTAAAACAAACATGCCCACTACCAGAGAACATCTGGCCAGCATCCTCCACCCATAGAGCTTCCTCAGCAGACAGTTCTCAGTCCCGCTCAAACTAATTGACTTCAGAGGTTGTCATAGGGTCAGTGGGCCGTGGAGTAGCTAAGAGGGGAACAGGAGAGGTGGCCTCAATTAGGGCTGGGTTGAGAATGATTGGCAGAGTCATAGGTGGCACCCCAACCTGCAAGGGGGAGGCAAGAGGCTGCAGGATGAGTGGCGGCTGTGCTGTTGTAGGAGGTATGTCTGTAACGGGGCTTGTCTTTGTTGGAGCTGATGCTGGGAAAGAAGGAGAGGCAGAGGTGCTGACGGTGGGTGAGGCGGGTGCAGTGACTCTCTCAGACTCTGGAAGAAGGAAGAGACAAATTACATCCTTACACAGGCTCTGACAAAGTCACCTGTCAGTTCAAAGCTAAGCAGGGCTGAAGATCAACTCAGGGGCCTTTTCAGACTTTCCCCTTCCACATGCCTTCCCCTGAGGCCCTGAGGAACAGGCGCCGATCACAGGCATTCTGCCCCAACCTCTTCCCACCCCAATATCCTCAGCAAGAAGGCCACAACCTTTCCATTTGGAAGCCAAACAGTTCCACAACACCAGGGGCCTGGTCACTGTAGATCACAGTAAACCAAGGAAAAGCAGGTCCACGCCACCCGTGCTGGGAAGCTGATTCCAAAAAGAAGAAAACGGAACTCACCAGTGGCACCCAGTTCACAGGGCTTCTCCAAAGGAGCCAGGTGGGTGGCTGGCCTCACATCTCCCACGGAAGGGGGCAGAGCAGACACTATTGATTTCTGATGCTGCTGCTCCATTGGCATGCTGGGGACAGGATCTAGGAAAACAAAACAAACAGTGAACCCACACACCAGTCTGCTCACTCCTTTTGCCCACCTTCAGTTTGCCCTCCTCATGCCAAGCTCCCACAGTTTCCTGCACCTATAATTTCATCAGCATCCAGGCACTATGGCAGCTGGCTACTGGACAAGGCGCAAGCACTGAGTCCAAGACCTGTTTTTGTGAGGTTTCTCAGCCTCTTGTACCTTGGATGACTGTCTGTTTGAAGAGCTCATCCCGCAGCCTAGGTAAGAAACAGTCAATCCGCTCCCAGGTGATCTCCCACAGATCTGAGTATCCTGTCCGTGAGTCAGCACTGTGGAATATCCCAGCCGTATCCATTACAAGCAGCATATTTTTCAGAGACTCTGGGATGGCCTCCAGCTGTAATCAGAGACACTCCTCAGGACACAGCGAATGGATATATAGCAATGAACAAAAGCTGGAAACAGCTGATGAGCTGCCTTGGAAACAGAGGCCAAGGGGAGAGACCACAGAACAAAATTGTTTTGGAAGGATTAAGAAGTTAAAAAAAACCCAAAACAACCCAAAACCCAAAAAACAAACCACTTTTTAAGTTTAGAAGGTTATAAACCAATGAATGGTTGTTCAAAGCACTGCAGCATCACTTTCAGCACCTTACCAGCAAGTCACTGGAGCCAGCATGCATGTATTTGTCCATAAAGTCCAGGATTGTCAGCCACAGGGCAGCAAAGGTAGTCAGTGAGAGCAGCGGGGAGAGATGCTGTAGGAACACCTAGAAAAAAAACCCCCACAACTACTGTCAACAAGTAGTATCAGGGCTGCTGCTCAGAGCTTGACAAGCCAGTCCTGCAAATGAGGAATTCCCCCTCCTTGTGGCAGGCGAGGAGCGTGCACAGGCCCAGCCTGAGGACACCAGAGGCCTCCACTCTTCTGAGCTGCATATGTAGGGGAGTTGATCTTGTCTCCTTTGCACGAGGCTGCTGCAGTCTGCATCACGATGTCTTCCAGCCCTTCCAGACTCTCTGCCTTAGGTCAGTACTATCAGCTTGTGACATGCATCATTTCACCACTAGAACAGACTGTCTTCAACTGATGTTGGGTGAAATACTTCTCTCTCCACCCTTCATAAACTCACAAACTCCTTCCTGACAACCTTTTCAAAGGCCAGGATCATGGAGACAGTTCTGGAACGAAGAAACGTCCCAACAGCAGAAGGTGGTAGAGAAGCCAAGCAGTGAAGACAGTCAAATTAGCAAACTGACACCTATCCAGATCAAAGATTTTGAGAAGCTAACACAGCAAACAGTTTGGTTTTC